TGAAAAGCAAGGGTGAAAGGGAAAGATATAAACAACTGAATGCAGATTTCCAGAGAATAGCAAGGAGAGATAATTAGGTAATGAGTGACCATGAGTATGGCCTCCCAGTGAGTCTAGGAGAAACTCCAAATGGTGGATCATTCATTGGTACATCTCTGTTCAAAGTCAAAGATGGAATTTCCCTGGAATTGTAAGGTCTACAAACCCAAAACTACTCTACCTGGCAGAGATTCACTCAGCCTGTTCCTTCCAATCCAAACTCTGACAGCTTCTGGGTCAGCATTTCCACCACATCACCTGTTTGGGCTGGGGATCTGAAAAATAACTGGGTATCATCAGCATATTAAGGATACCAGACTCGAGGCCAATAGATGACCTCCCCCAGCAGTTCCATGTAGATCTTAAAAAGGAGTGGTAAGTGGAGAGATCTCTTGAGCACACACAGAATAGATGTCTCTGGACAGATCTCTCTTCCACCATTACTACCTCAGGAAGGAGGAGAACCAATGCAGAACAGTGCATTCCCTCAGAGGTGTTGCAGAAGAAGACTGCAAGAAGAGTGGTATTGAAAGCCACTCAGAGATCAAGGAGGGTTTCACTCCCCCACTCCTGCTCTCTCCATAAGTTATCCATAAGTGCAACCAATGCTATCCATGCTGTATCCTGGCTGGAAACTACCATGGAGCCAAATCGTCTGCTTCCTCTAAGGCTCTCTGCAGTTGCAGAGCATCAGCCCTTTCAGGCAAGCCAGGTCAGGAATTGGACATCGCCATGCCCATTGGAGCTCTGTGATATTGTTGTGGAGTATAAGAACAGAATCTTGAAAGCCTGTTAGAGTTTCCCACTGATTTCTTTTATGGGATGCAGAATCAAGGCAGGATTATTTTGAGTCTCTTGAGTAAGAAGAATGCTGAATTCCCTTTCCTGTCTGTTCCTTCACTCTCTATACTCGCTCTACACAGGGACGTGGCTTTCTCCAGAACCTTTCTTAAAAATGGAAAGTTGGAGACATTGAGAAGACTTCCTGATCAGTGGGGACATGATAGCATCCTTCCTCCTGGCCCCCCATGGAAAATGCATCCTTTCTCCACTCTTTGCATGAGCACCTGCATTGCACACAAACTCCACCAGGGGACTCCCTCTGCAAAGAGAAGGAAACACCATGTACTTTAGTATTGGGCCACTGGAGGGCGAATGCCAGAGGTGGCTTTCCAGAGGAGGATGGGAAGGGAGTGATATCACTATGTCTTGCCACTCTAGGATGCTGCACTTCCTCTCTTTACCCTTTGAACTTCTCAAGAGATAAAATGGCTGCAGGAAAGTCTAGCAGGGAAGAGATTTAGACCCTATGTGAGTGGGGTCCTCTTCACATGCAAAGGGAGGGAGAGGGAGAGGCTTCTCGCGCTGGAGAAGGAAGACACCCATATGCCAATTCCTCATCCAGGTTCAATCTTCTGAGTCCTGGGAGTGGAATAGCCCAGATCCCATATTCCTCTGCCGCCCCTTTCCATGCACGCTCCAGCAGAGCTCCAGACCAGCTGTATTGCCCCGAGGAAAAACTCCAGGATCTCCAGGAAGGAGGAGGGCATCTGGGGGAGCCCTTCACGCACCATTTCCTGGGAAGAGCCCCTGAGTGGGGGGAGAGGGAGAGTTTGCATTGCAAATCTCAAGCAGAAAAGAAGACAAGCTTTGAAGGAAGGAGGTGCCAAAGATTGTGCCTGCATTCTCACCATGTGTTCGATGGGGCTAAAATAGGGTTGGATTCTCTGCAGTTCAACATGTCTTAGGAGGGTGAGTGAACCAGGACATCATCTTAAACTCTGTTCTTTCAAGCCCTGTGGTTTGTGTGAACTCAGCCCCTGTGGTTTGTGGATCTGTTTGGGCTTACGGCATGTTGTGTGAACCTCCTTGCGTGTCATAGGGTGACTTGGCTCTTGAAAAGCAAACCCTGAAAAAAGGGAAATGGAACATCCCAAGTCAGGATCATTTCATTGGCATTTCATTTAATGTGAACTGATGTTTCATGGTTTGTTAACCTGTTTGGGGTTCGGGATGTTGTATGAACCCTGTAGGGAAATGTAGATCTAGGTTATTAAAAAGCAAGCCCTTCTTTGTGTGAAAAAAGAAATAGAAAATACTCCGAAATGCGTTGATTCAGTGTCCCAAGTCCTTGGTGGACCTCAATTCCATATTTTGTACCACACACACACACAGGATCTATCTGCTCAAGGCCGCTGCAATTCTCACCAGCTTAGAAAAATACTTCCTTCCATGGGGATGAGTGTTGTGCAATGGTTAAATCCACCACTTTCTAATTCTTGGAATCTATCTTCTTTTCCATCTCAGATACACAAGCCATTTCTAAGTCCTCGCATACAGACAAAACTATCTCTTGGGCGAAGAGGGCTGAATGGCCTGCTGTGGTCATTCCTGCAGCTACAGGAACAGGCCTATGAATACAAAGGCGTTTGGAGCTCCACAAGATTCCTTGGATCCATTTGGAGTTGCACTGCAGGACAAAGAAAGAATGGAGACACAACCTTTAGCAAGTGAGGGGACTGGAAAATACCCTTCTGCTGTTCAGCCTGGGAGCTCTGGGGAGCTCTGGGCAAGAACTGGGCAGGAGATCCTGAAGGAGGAAACTGTCCATTCAGATCTTCAGTCCTGGAATTGCAGGAGCATCCAATACCAGGAGGCTGAGGATCCCCGAGGACTTTGCAGTCGACTCCACTATTTTTGTAGTCGATGGTTCAGAGCAGAAAAGCACACAAAAGCGCAGTTGCTGGACCTGGTTGTTCTGGAGCAGTTCCTGGCCCTTCTGCCCTTGCAGATGGAGAGCTGGGTCCGGGAGTGTGGAGCCGAGACCACCACCCAGGCAGTGGCCCTGGTGGAAGGCTTCCTCCTGAGCCAGGCGGGGGAGCAGAAGGAGCAGGTCGAGTTGCAGGTGAGAGACCTTCATCTTGGGAGCCCAGAAGGGGTTTGAATGGAATAAACAATGTGTTTGAATTCTTAACCGCTTCCTCCTGAGCCAGGCGGGGGAGCAGAAGGAGCAGGTCGAGTTGCAGGTGAGAGACCTTCATCTTGGGAGCCCAGAAGGGGTTTGAATGGAATAAACAATGTGTTTGAATTCTTAACCGCTTCCTCCTGAGCCAGGCGGGGGAGCAGAAGGAGCAGGTCGAGTTGCAGGTGAGAGACCTTCATCTTGGGAGCCCAGAAGGGGTTTGAATGGAATAAACAATGTGTTTGAATTCTTAACCCCTCCCAGCCAGAGTTCTCTGGCATTCATAATATGTGGAGATGTTTCACTAATTCTTGTAGGATGTTTTTCTGATATCCATTCTAGAAGATAGATTTGGGACAGCCATTCCTTTCTTACTTTCCATCCTCAGTGATGAACACTGGGGGCTCTGAAGTTGTGTTCAGAGAACAAGAATCCACTTCATGTTGGGTGATGTCCATTAATCTTCTTTTCTCCTGCCTACTATGCAAGTCCTTCACTGTGGAGACAAGAGATCTTGAGGGAAGGAGGAATCCATCAAATCCCCCTCAGGAGCTGTTCTTCAGGAGGATCTCTCAGGAAGTTCCAAGTCAGGACACCTCAGGAGGTAATCGAAGGTCCTCCTATTCCCCAGAGAGATCCCAGCTGTCTCATCTTCTCTGTCTCCTCTTCTGTAAAATACCTCCTCCTATTTTATTAATTATGCATTTTAAAATTCTGTCTCCCTCACAGGGATGAATAAAACAAAGTTGTCTGGTCTTTATGGTGGATCTGAAAGAGTGGTTGAACCTCAGACTCAAGTAAGAGGAGGAAATTTATTTATTAGATTTGAATTCTCCCTTTCCTTTAGGAAGTCAAGGTAGTATACACAGCACTCTCTCCTTCCATTTTTCCCTCTGTTTGGGCTCAGTTATTTTCATGTTCCTGAGCAACATGGAATGGGGGATGGAAGATTCAAATTGCTCTCCATCAGCTTAGCCTTCTCTGAAGTTTGTTTTTGGGATGGTTTGTAATTTCTACCCTGAGATTCTTATTAGGAAATCTTTTTTTAAAAGACAAATCTACTTCTGATAGTTACTCTTCCTACTGTTAGTTTACAATAACCAATTTTTTAAAAAGTCCTTCAAGAGATGGGAATAACTTTATTATGGCTGTAGCAACTTTGACTTGGCATTGTACAAGGTTGTTCAAAAATACTTGTAAATACTCATGGCACATTACCATTTTGAAAAAGCCTTGTGTACAACCAGTGATAAGAAAAATAAGCGCATCAGATGAAAAGATAAGGCAGATTATTAAAATCCATTGAAGGTGGCCAGATAGAAAAGTCTCTAAGGAAAAATTGTCCTGAAAAAGCTCATAATCAAGAAGCTGAAATTTTTTGATGATGGATGGATTGATTGATCCAGAAGGAAAGTGGGCACTGAATGGCACTAAAAGTCCTGCAAAATCAATGAAGTTGATCAAACCTGCCTGAAACATTTCTTCAGTTAAAGGCTTTTGGCTCTGTCTGTTTTCTCACCTAAACCTTGGAATCCTACCAAGTAGAGCCATTTAACTTAGTTCATATCTTTGCTTTGGGAATTTGTGAACAATAGAACAGAACTTGCAAATCCTTCTGGGCCTGTTCTGTTCTTTTTTTCCTTGTTCAGGAAGGTCTTGTGTCCTTCGAGGAGGTGGCTGTATATTTCTCTGAGGAGGAGCGGTCTCAGTTGAATCCCCAGCAAAAAGCGCTGCATTGGGAAGTCATGCTGGAAAATCATAGGACCGTGGCCTCTCTGGGTAAGGGTTTGCTTCTCTCCCAGCAGAGAGTTTGGAAAGACATTTTGTAGTCAGATGCCATCAGCTATTTCTTATTAAAAAATCTCCAACCAGATGTCATCTCTTGGGAGGGAGAAGGAAAAGATATGACCTTTTCCTGCTCTGAGGAAGGAAAGAGATCAGTGGCTCTCTGCTTAGATGCATCCTGTGCATCTTAACTGGTGAAATTTTCCATTCCTATTTCAACATATCAGTGACAAACTCACTCCTTGGCTCCTTGGCTGCATCACATTGATTTCAGCTTTTTGGGCCCAGATGCTTCCTTATCTGTCCTATGAAGGACTGTCATTTATTCAGGCTCTTGGGTTAATGACTTTTCTTCCTTTTCATTTCTATCCTAAGCCTTGGGACATGCTATTTAGGATTAATAGAAGAACTCCTGGTTTTTGTCTCTGCAACCATGTGATTTTGGCAAGAAAAAAATGAATAGCTAATGGAAGGTAGTTTGGTTAGGAAGAAAAGGACGAGTTTCAAAATTGATTTAATTCCCACTGCTCCAGAGTCTGCTAATTGCCTTCCTCCAATAAATGTTAGGTTTTCTCCTGATACCTCCTGGGATCTTTCCTCTGATTCTTTTTTAACTCAAAGCTGACTCTCGATGAGATTTGAATATATAATGATAATTACAGTGGGGCAAAAAAGTATTTAGTCAGCCACCAATTGTGCACGTTCTCCCACTTAAAA